GGATCCAGACCAGCCTGCGCATCTGCGCAGTCTGATCAGGATCCATGCTGTTCGCTATCAATTTCTCTACCTGTTAGAGGGTTTGTAAACGAACAGCATGGATCCTGATCAGACTGTACGGATGCGCAGACTGGTCTTGATCCATGCTGGTCGCAAACCCATTATGTTGGTTTTGTCATGACGTGGCTCATATATAAATAGCTGATGTAGATCTCATAAAAACTGTATGCATTTAAGTAGAAATTGCAGGGTATACAATTGTATGTCGGATGAATGGTATTTACTAGAATGTGTTTCATTAATGGCTAAACTTATAACCAGTAAGGTGTTATGTTTGTGCGGCTTGACCTTTAAGGAACCAGTAGGATGTTTTGATTTGCTGACTAAGCTGGCTCCTTATGCTCCTTTTTCTGGAATAGATACTCCTAATATAATGTTAGATTTCAAATTGTGAATGTTTGAGATATATCATATAATGAGCATGTCCTGATTGTTCATTCTGGACAAAACCATTTAATATCATTTTATGGAAATATTTTCAAAATATACGCCCCCTCGTACAAATCAGATAGCCACGTGTTTCGATGCTCTTTCTATTACATTATTATTTTTTTTGGTCTGTATTCAATAAAATAGATTGACTACTTGATGTGAACAAAATATTTATATAAACTTGTATAGTATTTCTATAAAACTATAAAAAAAAAACATTGCATTATTATATAGTATGCATGAAAAGTTGCAGTTTGCAGCTGACACTTATTCTTAATTATTCATCAGCAAATTTTAATATAAATTTGTTAAAATTTAATGCACCCAATCAGAGTGATATAAAAGTTAATGATGTGGAAAATTTTTTTTAAAGGAAAAACATTACACATTAAACAGTCAGGGTAAAACATGAACAAATTTGACAAATTCAATTAAGTGATGGTGATAATCATCAATTTGACATAGCTGAACATGATATTCAATTAAAGAACATGAAATGATGACTAATTTAAAATACTTTTAAAATATACTTAAATAGAATGAAAATTATTGATAAAAATGAAATGAAAAATGTTACTTAAAAAGGATAATAGTAGGCAAATATCAAATTATGTATTAGTTAATTATTTTAAATTGGTCTGTTGGAACTACATGTACATTTGTGTACATGTATCTTAATTTTACTGTACATGTATTATTAAGTCAGTCTAAAAAATGATAATAAGGAAAAAAGGTTTCTTTAAATTTAATTAGATCTTTGAAAGCAAAAATCTTTAAGAGCAATATCTGTAATATTAAAAAAAAATCTAGAATGAACTTCCTCCTCTATGTTGTTTGAAAAACAAAATTGACACACTTTACATAAATTATAACAGGAAATTATGTCTTGTAATCTTGATATGCCATCGTTAATATCAAGATTTTCATAGTTTACAGGTGTAATATTGGCACCGGAGTGAAGGAGAGAAATGGTGGAAAATAGAAAGAAATGATTTTATTAATGTTGCTAGTGGCTATAAATGCTGGGTCCCGGCCAAGACTAACAAATTATTGATTGATGATACATGTTAGTTTATTGGTTAAAGGGCATGATTATTGGTTGTTTACTTTGAAAAGTATAATTCTTGCTTATCTTTTATGTGTTATACTACTATGTATCTGTGATTGTTTGCTAGTTGATGGTCATAAAAACTGCTGCTCATTTGTAAAGAAAAGTTGATTTGATAGGACTAGTTCAGTATATTGGGATAGCTTTTAAAAGCAGTACAAAGGTAGAATAAAAAGGTACAGTGCAAGTATAAAATGATAAAAATGCTTCTTTGTGGTTTTTTTTTTTTTCGGGTTGGGGGAGGGAGTGGTATAAATTAATAATAATATGAAGGTACAAAAGATAATTTCTTATGCTTTTGAGACACAGTACTTGTAGAATTCTCAAGCCTAGTTATAAAAGTCATGTTTATATATATGAGGGTGGGTGGACTATCCATATCTCAGCCTAGAACTCAGATGTTTTGTTTGAGGCAGCATGACTCTTAGAGTGGGTCTTTCAAGACAAGTTATGCAAGTCATTTGGGTAACAGATTACCCTTACCATTGGAACTTTTTATCTTCTTTTCCACTGACTGAGAAGAGTGATATTAATGGGCCTTTAATGAGTTGATCAGAAAGTAAAGGTGGGAGTTGATTTATACAATTAATATTTTGTACTGCTGAAAACAGTTTCTTTATATACAAATAAGATAATATTTTATAGACACCAGGTCCAGTCAGCCTCAAGGTGGCTTACTTTTCCAGGAGATTCATAATATGAAAAAAGAAATCTTGACATCTATAAATAGCGTACAGGTTGTTTAACATCTGTGTTTTGCTACACATTATCTTTTCCAAAATAACTCATTTTATCTGATAATTTACTCTGGGAATTACTTCTTTTATTCTCATTAAGCTTAATGTAATTTACAAAATCTTCAAATCTTTAGATCAGAAAGGTATGCTAAGAGACTTGTTTAAAAGCATTTAACATAAAAATGTAAACCAGAAACAACATGCATTATGATAAGGGATGCTGATAAGCCCTGTAGGCTGGTTACTATGGCAACTGCAACACCCTATGTTCTCAAATTGCATTAAGATGTTAGAGTCTTACCGTAAAATATGAGGTTTCAGCAGAGGTTTAATTTATTTAAATTTTAAGACCATTATTATGATAATGTACCTGTGGAACGTACATGTCATGGAGCATGCTGCTTTTTGCTAAGAGATACAATTTAATGGGACAGTCCTTTCAAGTTTAAGGGATTGCAAAATCTATTTACAAAAATTGAGCTACCAACACTTACAGTATAGAGCATGGTCAGACTGCACATAGTTAAATGTGCACAATATAGTCAAAATATATTGAAGTGCCAAAGCTAGATTCTGAGATGTTTTGGTTCTGGGTCAGAATATTGCCCATACACAAAATAGCACATTTTAACTCTCATCAGAATTAATTGCCAATACACAAAATAGCACAATATCTCATCTGTAGTACAATTAGTTGGACTATGTGCACAAAGGCTAATCACCTTTTGGTTACAGCAGGTTCAGGGTAAATGTAGCCTTACAGAATAGGGTTGATAACACAGTTACATGTTTGTAATACCGTGTACCTTTGTAATATGGTATAAGTGCACTGTGTACTCTGTAGAATTATGAGTTTTATGAGAGGTTTTAATGCTCTTGAAAATCATTGATGCTGAAGCTCTTTTATGTATATTTAACTGATCCTGTAATGCTTAAGAAAACAGATCGGGAGTCTGCTAAATGGAAACATGGTACTCAGTTATATTGACCTTGAAATCCATTTTAGAGAGATATTCATCACTGAAGCCCTACTTAACACTAAAATATTTACAAAAGTTTATTGTTCTTCAAATTGATATTATCGTTACAGAAAATTTGTAAAAGTTACACTTGTTAAAACCTTGCAGTTATTGTATTGAAATGTTCAGGTATAAAAACATTTGGTTTAAACATATTTATTTTAGCTCGATTGCGAAACAAGTTCTTGCAACTTATATTAATCACTTTCAAGTCCGCTTCCTGGAATCAACCAGTACGGGTGTCATATGAAGAAACATGGTCGTGACCCGAGTAGGGCTCGAACCCATGATCTCTGGGTTGAGAGGCAGACTTCTTAACCACTCATTCCCCTTAAAAACATTTCATAAATAGTATGAGAAGAATTCTACTTGTTGGAATAGCCCATCTACTAAATTATTCCATGTATTTCTGAATTCATTTCCATATGAAGCACAACTGCAGCTTCAAGAATTTACAGTATGTAATTAATCTCTAGGGTGATTACTTAAGCTGATCATAAGTTATATCTAACACAAATGGATTTGATATAATAATGATGATAAAAATTTAATACAATAAAGTGTACCCCTCACAAATTATTCCCTAGCTATTTATGATACTTGGCTCGAACGGAGTGCTGGAAAATGGCCCTTCAAGGAGTAGCTGAGTTATGTCTCTCTTCTAAATTTAGGAAGTCATGACCGTTGAACGCAACTTTCATGAAATGAGCTTATACCACACTTTTACCATATCAATCTTTTAACTGTTTCAAATACTCTGAAATGACATGTAGCTCATAATGATTACACTCAGCATGTTAAATGGGTTAATTAGATTAAGATATTGGTTAATTGGTTAATGTTTCTCATGCCACTAATGTTGGTGGTTTACATGTTTGTGGTAAACCACAGTATTGCTTATATATAAACCTTAAATTTGAAGTGATAAGAATCATTCTAGATGCGGTTAATTATCAGATATTTCAAGGAGACCTTCTGGTGTTGCAGAAATTTATGCATGCCTTAAGGTTAAAGGTCATGTTTCTGAAAAGAATAAATTTAACTTATTGCATACTGGCAGCTAAAGTATTTGTATAAATTTCTTAAAATGTCACATAAATTTCTAGAAATGAAAAATAAGGATAAAGAATGATTGGTTGAGTAGCCTGGTACCACTGAGATTCTCGACGTCTTATCTGGTACCAGGCTTTTTGCAAAGGTTATTGTGATTGCTCTTGTATGCTAAAGGGTTAACCCATAATCTTCTGGAACGAAGATTGATATCCTTTGCCAGTACAGAGCCAAGCCAGCCTGTGCATCCATGCAGTCTGACCATGCTCTAGTAACTGTTGGCTGACCAGTTTTAAATATTCATTTATAATATACCCAAAATTGATAATGGGCGGTTCCAAAAATGGAAGCTGGACAAGTCCATTTAAGAAATTTTGCAGGTTAATGGATAAATTTCACTTTCAAATAAGTGTTAAACATGAAAGCTGATTGAAATGTGGTTGTCAATTTTCAGCAGAAGAACGTACTGATTTTACAAAATGAAGATCAAAATGAAAATTCCAATGACTTACAGAGATAAATAGCTTTTACCATCTGTCTATCATCCAAAATGACAAAAGTTGTATTTGAGATTAAGTTCTTTGTATTTTTCAGAACCAAGCTGGGCCTCGATCAACCGTGGTGTATTGATATGTGATGAGTGCTGTAGTGTTCATAGAAGTCTTGGTCGACATATTTCTCAAGTAAAATCACTTAAAAAAGGGCAATGGTGCCCAACACAACTTGCAGTAAGTAGATGTGTTAATTTCATTATGTTGCAATTAAAGTTAATATTACATAGAGGATATTTGTTTGTTTCAGTGTAAGATCGAAAATATTTCACCGAGTGAACACCAGATTTTGCAATATTTTCCACGAGTGGGCGTAGCCACGAGTGAAAATATAATAGTGGGGTTCACGAGTGAAATATTATTTGATCTCACATGTAAAACAAACAAATTTTTTTTTATTTCATGATTTTTTTAACGATTTTTTACACCATTTTACTGATTTTTTGCCGCGTAACGTCATGCTCTTATCTTCAATGACGTCATCAATAATGACGTCACAATGTTGAAGCAAAATATAATTCCATGATTATTTTTAGATTTTAGATGTTTTTCAGCACAACGTTCTTAAATATTTACGAACTACAGTTATCACGTACAAATTTTATTATGATTGACTACATTTCCGCTGAAAAAACATTCATTAATGATAAATATTTTATTTTTACGCCAAATATAGTTCGGCTACTGTGAAATTATATTTGGTAATCATTACTGTGAAATTATCAGAATATAATTAACCGTTATAATTCAGTAATCTACTGCAAAACATGTAATAAATTTGTTTAAACACATTTATTTAAGCTCGATTGAGAAACAAGTTCTTGCAACTAACATTAATCTCTTTCGAGTCTGCTTCCTGGAACCAGCCAGTGCTGATGTCGTTAAGAAACATGGTTGTGACTTGATTAGGGCTCAAACCCATGATCCCTGGGTTGAGAGGCAGACACCTTAACCACTAGGTTAATATAACATTGAAATCTGATTTCCTGTAATACCTATGTCCCTGCACTATATACTCAGTATTATATATGTATAATGGAATATGTAAATGATTTCTTTGCTTTTTTCACAAATTGAGTTTAGCATGTTATTTAAGCTAAATTTGAATGGGTTGTGTAAGCATCTTAGGGGCGGTTTTATGTCATGATCCGAGCAGTCCATCTGTTAGTCTGTGACAACATAATCAAGAAAAAATAATGGGTCATCTGATGTTAAAACAGCAGAAAGGAAAACAATACAATGCATTCTATTTCCATAGAATAAGGGTCCAGATTGGCCCACTATAGAACAGAAGAAAAAAAGAGACGCCAAAAGTCTACTTACATGTAGCCCATTTTGATTGAAATCATGGCAAATAAGTGAATACAGTGAGGGAGCCAGTGGGTACTTAGAAATGTTTGATTATTTTGGGTTCTTAAATCTTTTGATTATTTGTTAATTACCTTCAATTTATTGCATCTGTGTAAATTTTTATTTTGACTTTATGTTTCTATATTTAGATTTTCATCTTCTCTTTCTATTTATAGATGGTTCAGCATCTAGCCAGTCATGGAGCAAACAATATATGGGAATATTCTTTATGGGATCCCTCACAGAAACATGGCCGACGTAAACCAGCATCCAGGGATCAAGTGCAGTAAGTAATCTTCATGTAGTTTTCTTTTTTTATCAGGTATTCCTGAAATCTTGGTGTCTTTGAGTCATTTGAGATTTACTTAAATTGACTGCCAGATATTATTGTTATTTTAGTAAAGTTATGTTGAAATTTTTACCAAATATTTTCATATACTTTATGCCAATAATGTTGTTTTATTACAAGATCTGTAAAAATCTCGGAATGTATCAGGTAATTGATTCTTTGGCTTAGTGGTTTAGATCAATTGAAAGTGAATGGCTGTGGGTTTGAATTTCACATATGAAGCTTGAGTTTTTATGTCTGCTGATTGATTTATTTGGAAGATATATTGCTTAGTCTGTCTGTTTGTCTGTCTGTTTGTCTGTCTGTCTGTTTGTCACAAATCTTTAACCTTATCCACAATACAGAAGTCTTTCCATATACAACTTCCAAACTTAACAGGTGAATGCACCTTGATAAGCCCTACACGCAAAGTTAGCTTACAGGTCATAGGTCAAATATCAGGGTCCATACTGGGAGCATGGCATTTATTCAAACATACTGTTAGTTTTGAATGCATTTGTATCTTATGGTGTTTGTTTGAATATTCATCCCTGTAAGAATTAATCCTCTATGCACAATTTTCAATAAAATGAAAGAGTGATGGACCTTATGGTTCTACAATATACAAATACATGTTTGTTTAAATCTTAAATGTATATAAAAATGTTACTGAATGATATTTTCAGTCCTGTGAAGGCAGATTTTATACGTGCCAAGTACCAGTTCCTGTCATTTTTGAACAAAAGTAAAGACACAGATATAACATCACTAGATGATATCAGTCAGGTATGTGGTTTATTTAACACCAATTAAAAATGATGGGATTGAAAATATCCCTTTTACCAAATTAATGAGGTTTTTGCTTGTAAATTATTGAGATTAGATTGTTGTACAAGGCTATTCTATTAAAGTTTGTTAAAAAAAAATATATGCTTGAAGATCTTAATCAATTATGAAGAACTAAATCATACGTCGGGAATACTTTCATCTTATTTCCTTTGAAGAAATAAACACAATCATCATTTTATTTCCTTATTTGACGTATTCATCAATGAACAAAAATTAATATCAACCTGTCTTTGGTATAGTTGAACAGATTTTCTGTTTAAATAGTTTCTCTTTTATGGATAACAGATTTTATCAAGTAAAGTTGAAAAAGCTGGAAAGTCACCATATTGTCACCTTAGTGCAGTAAAGGGTTAACTTCTTATATAATTTAATAGCAGTTAATCAGTTACTTTACTATGGTGACAATATGCTTGTTACAGAGTTGTATGACAAATAACCGAAGCAAAAAGAAATGAAATTGATCTAACAATGTAACAAATCAATCTTTCTATTTAAAACATTTTTTTGTTTTCTTCTGTTTACAGCAATTACACTCTAGTGTTCGAACAAACAATTTAGAAACAGTGTTGAGGTTAATATCTAAAGGTGCTGATCCAAATTATTACCACCCGGTAAGTTTACAACACGATTTATGTTCGTAGTTTTGATCTTCGGTTTTAATAATCGGTATACCAAATTTTCCTGCAATCTTAATTAAAAAGGGGCGTCCGTGGCCGAGTGGTTAAGGTCGTTGACTTTAAACCACTTGCCCCTCACTGCTGTGGGTTCAAATCCCAAAAGGGACTTTGGATTCTTTCATGTTAGGAAGCTAGCTGCTAGCTTACGGAACGTCGGTGGTTCTACTCGGGTGCCTGTTCATGCCTGAAATAATGCACGGAAGGGCACCTGAGGTCTTCCTCCACCAGTAAAGCTGGAACGTTGCCAAATGACCTATACTGTGTCAGTGTGACGTAAAACCCAATCAAACAAACTTAATTAAAAGTAGTGAACAGTAATGAAAATAAATACAGAAATTATGTAGTTGTCGTATTATCAAGTATGTGGGATTAGTAGTCTGTCTTGTGGAGAAATTGGTAATAACTGGTTAGTTATCCAGAAAAGCTGGTTACGTGTCCAAACACGGGAATATGACCAAACCATGTGTTAAATCAGTATAGTAACCAGAAAAACGATCAAGCTGAAAAACAGGCATGATAGATGTTAACAATTTTTTTGACAGTGGAAGTTAGTTGCAAATTTATAATCTCTCTGCAGATACTTGTAATATTTATCACATGTATCAGATTCAATTTCCATCATACCATACAGAAAAAGGTAAATTTAAAGGTTCTCTTTGCCATCCATTAGGATTCTTGATATTTATTTTGTTCTCATGCATATTCTGTGTTGTTTTTGTAGGAGAAGGGTAATTGTCCATTACACGTGGCCGCGGGATCAGGTCAGATTTTACAGATTGAACTTCTAGTCATTTACGGTGCTGATCCGGGAGCATTGGATGCGTTCGGAAAAACACCTATAGACTATGCCAAGTAAGTCAAGCGTTTTCCTCTAATTTTACATGATAATTTTGTACAAAGAAATTTTTTTGGAGAAAATTAATAAAATCAGTGAAACAAGGCATTTGTAGAACTTGATAAATTAATGTAATCATAGACCTAGCAGATGTATTATAGCCTACTTAATTGAAAAGAATTTGAACATAAACCATATTTTTGGATAAAATTAGGACTCCCTTCTTATATGTGATCTGTCATATAGGCGGGTAAATTGGTAATTTGTGTTGGTCGAAAAGTTACATAACGGCATTTTTGTTTAATGCTTGTGAATATATTCACATCGAGGATTTAAAATTCTTTTGCTAGATAAAGCTCTGCAGCTTGTTTGAAGAAAGTTGTTCTACATGAGTGCCCCCACATGTCTCGTAATGTTTTAGGTGTACCGCTGAGCTTCATTTGATTGCAAAACAGGAAAGTTGCCTTACCACGTTAATACCTTATATGGACTCGACCATCTTTCTATTGGATATAACACATTTTTTAGGGATTTGAAATATGTACTAACTGAATAGCAAACAGTGCACACGGCACTGATACAAACTGTGCTATATGATCATGGTTTGAAATGGTTGCATTGGTAAAAACAGTTGCAGCATGCAGGCTCAAATTGTAATATTGATGTGACCTTTAAAGAAAATATTTAAATACTTCTGGGTTTTTTCATGTCCTTGAAACTGTTCTCATGTCTTGTAATTAGAAATTAATTTTGTGATAATGTGTACTTAAAACTTCTTAAATGACATTGTTGAATTTACAGAGCTGAAGGTCATGAAGATATAGCTAACAGACTAGTTGAGTGTCAATATGAACTCACTGATAGGCTAGCCTATTACCTTTGTGGCAAAAAACCTGGTAAGTTGAGTTTTTATAATCAACTGACCTCGAATTGCTAGAATTTGTATAATCTTTGGAATATCTTGAGTTACTACTAATTTTTAATCTCATCGTTTACTACTAATTTTGAATCTATTGAATTTCTTCTGACTTAGCAATTGTTTTGAGTAACTACTGACTTTGAATCTCAGGTTTCCACTGACTTTGTTTTTTTTTTGGATGATTACTGACTTGGAATCTTTTATAGTTACTGCTGACTTTGAATCTCTTGGGATTCTATGGACTTTGAATCTCTTAAATCTTTACTGACTGAATCTTTTGGGTTACTACTGACTTTGAAAATCTTTTTTGTTATACTGACTTTGAATCACTAGAGATATTACTAACCTTGGATCTCTTTGGTGACTACTGACTTTGAATCACTTAATTTTCTTCTGACTTTGAATCTCTTGAATGTCTATTGACTTATACTTTTGGTTTTCTACTGACTTTGAATGTCTTACTTTAAATCACTTGAGACACTATTGTCTTTAAATCTTTGGTTTCTACTGACTTTGAATGTCAGTGGTTATCCTGACTTTATTGCAGTTATACACTGATCATTTTCCTAAATCAGTAAAATCAGGAAAATTTCCATATATTATCTTGATAAGTTCCTATGTGTCATGGATTTCCAATAAGCTTGTCAAAAACAACTGACAACTAATCATTACTATTCATTTAAGTGTAGAGAACTTTGATATCATATTTCTTATAATATTTGTTGAAACTGTTAGTATGCCATAGAAAGCAGTTTATGTAATGTGTGTGATAAATATGTGAACACATCTTGTTTAGCTAAATTCAAAATTCTGCCATTTTTCATTGTTGAATGTTGAATCCCCCACCACTGTGGGTTCGAATCCCTACAGGGACTTCGGATTTTTTCATGTGAGGAAGCTAGCTTACGGAATGTCCAAGGTTCTACTCAGGTGCCTGAAATAATGCACAGAAGGGCACCTAAGGTCTTCCTCCACCAGTAAAGCTGGAACGTCGCCATATGACCTATTATGTGTCGGTGTGACATAAACCCAATCAAACAAACAAACATTGATTAACATTACCTACTTTAGCAATAAATATCATGAATTGTCATAATGAGACAATACAATAATAAAATAATACATGCATATTTCCCTATTTCAGAACACTACAAAGGTCAACATTTTATCATCCCAGAAATGGCCGACAGTAGTTTAGATATGTCAGAGCTCGCAAAACAAGCCAAGAAGAAATTACAACAGGTACTTTAGTTGTTTTATACATTGATAGAAATTATTTTGGTATGCTGGATTATTGCGAATCAATGAATGTAGAGGTCTCAGTGGTTGAATGGTTTACCTCCTTCAAATCCCTCACTAATCATAGCTATGGTTTCAGATCCTGCCAGGGACATTGAATTCTTAGAGAGCTTTCCATCTAACATACAAAAGTACAGTGGTTTCGTTGTGACTAAAATAGTACACATAGGGTTTTTCTTGTGTATCATTTCTACTTTTTTATCCTGTGCAAGATTAACCCATGTCAAGCCACATGTTTGAAATAATGGGATGATTATTATTTCAGTTGTCAAACCACCTTTTTGAAGAATTAGCTATGGATGTTTATGATGAAGTAGATAGGAGAGAGAATGATTCAGTCTGGTTGTCGACACATGACCACACGTCGATCGTCAGCGATCGTCAAGCTGTTCCCTTCCTTCCAGTCAACCCAGAATTCTCCGCCACGAGAAATCAGGCAAGTATATTGTCCTATAAGTGTATTTGTGTGTTTGGAAATATGTTCATAATTCTGAAATATATTTCTTTGGTTATGTAATGCATAGGCATAATTATTTGTATTTCAGTAAAGCTATTAAGGGTGCAATAAATTGAAGGAAGTGTTTTGAGCAATGAAAATATTGTTACTAGGGCATATTAAAATTTGAAGTAACTTATGCTAGCATAAAAGAATTAACTACCCCAATAAGCCAGGCCACACTCTGTCATAAGCCATTAATAAATATCAGGAAGCAGACCTAAGCACAATTATTTTAAATTATTGGAACTTCTTTTACAAAGATAAAAGCTTTATATTTACATAATTCCCTTCAAATATATTTTGTAAGCATAAAATGTATTTTAGAATTTAGTAAAGCACTTGATTTTCTGAAGCATATGAAATTAAAGAACATTATGTTTGTCTTCTTGCAGGGTCGACAGAAACTTGCACGATTTAACGCCCGCGAGTTTGCCACCTTAATTATAGATATACTCAGTGATGCCAAAAGAAGACAGACAGGAATCATGTCCCCGCCACTTACAATCAAAGAGAAAATGGGTAAGTGATTTACCTATACATGGTTGTAGGGCCTTCAAGTTCATTTATCATTTTTAAGGAAATTTAAAAATATGATGGCACAGATGTGTCAGATGATCTTAGTCTGCGCTTGTCGCATTGATAAACATGTTGCAGCAAAAAGATAATTTGGAGGTCATATCTGGAGAGAGTGTTTTCAAAATGGTGTCTCTGTTATAAAACTTAAATGAATTATATAAGAAAACGGGATAAAATATTCCTTAACAAATATTTCTAAGTGCTATTTTTAATTTGTTGAATTGATTTTGTGTGTACAACCCTTAGCATAATTTTGATTTCGTCAAATCAGGCGCATTCCTTCTTTTATAATGTACTGCATTACTAACAAATTATTCAACAAATCACATGTTACAACAGTTGTTGGGAAAAAAATCACGGATTTGGTATGTGTTGGATCATGTTTGAATGTTAGTTAATGTTAAGGCTGGTATAGCTCTTATCATATTTCAAGTTCAAGTTTGAAGCAATATAAATACTGGTCATTTTCAAATAAATTATGACAAATATCAAAACCAAAGCAGTTCATTTGTTTCTTTCTATGTTTGATATGATCCCTAATTCAATGTGTTCCGAATGACAGGTCTTGGTATTGTCATGTACATGTACCATCATAGGTAAAGAAACATAACTCTGTCACCCATTCCTCCCCTCCTCCAATTATCTCCCTTGTAAAAGTTTATTATATTGCTAATGTTTAACATGTTTAAAAGGCTTCTTGCTTTACACAATTACATACCAACACAATGGCCTTTACTTTTATTTTTTCGAGTTATCTCCCTTTTATACACTTTGAAATTAGTTATGGTTTACTATTAATAGAATTTTGTATATTTGGTTGTTTATAATTCTACTAAGAACCAATACCGCCTCCGTGGTCAAGGGGTTAGAGTCGATGACTTCTAATCCAGTTACCTCTCTGGCGTGGGTTCGATCCCCGGGAGATGCTTTGGTAGTTTAGCGCGGAGGAAGGTTGTCTAGTACTGGTGTAACTCTCCAGGAACGATGGTTAGGAAACTACCCGCCTATATGACTGAAATACTGTTGGGAAAAGGCGTAAAAAAAACAAACAAACAAACAAACTAAGAACCAAATGCTTTATGTATTTACAAACAAATATAATGCTACTTTCATAGAAAGTTATGTTAGTTTGGCATCAATTTTCCCTAGTTATCTCCCTTTTACACTTGTTTTAGTAGGTTGAATATTTGGCAAGTTTAATTTGTAAAGGTATCAATCTTTCCTAATTACTAATACAGAGGTCAGTCACTTTAATGTTATGGAGTTTTCTCCCTTTATAATCTTAGTGAATACATTCGTGTAATCTTAGTGAATACGTTGTTTTTCTTTTGTCTGCAAGTTTAATATTTTGACCTTCTACAATAAGCACTGACAATTTATAAATTTGTAAAAGGTCATGAGTCATATTACATTTAACAGGGTTTCCATTAAGTTACAAAATCTAAAAAATCTAAAAATCAGGGACTGCAAAATGTCTGACATTGGAAGTTACATTATTAGTGATAAAGAAGGAAAAGCCTGAAAATCAAAGTGTAAATGACTCCCAAACTTCCACTAATCAAAGCCCTGAAATTTTAATCACCATTTTCAGTGTTTCTGAACACAGCAATTACAAAAAATAGCTGCTTGCCATTTTTGTAAGTTTTGCTTGTTTACCAAGAATATTTTCTAGTTTACAGTTGTATTCAAATGTAGCTATCAGCTACGTTTTACAAGGAGTAAAAAGGTTATAAATCATAACTTCTGAATTTTTAGATAAACCATGATACCTTTCAATGATCATTTTCTAATTTTATGTTTATTAGTGTATGATGTTTAGCCTAATAAAAAGTCCATTTTAAGTAACTCTTAATGGTATAAGTCTAATTTGTGTAGGCTAGGTTACCTCCCTTTAATTGATTTATGTATACAACCAAGGCTGGTATTAGTGGAATTTGCTATGTATTGAGAAACTCTAAGCTTTTGAGGAAAAGCTACAATTTTATTGCAATTAAAATTCTTGTGGTGAAAACTGCAATCCTAAGAATTTTTATCTGTTATATATTAAAATATGTAAGGAATTTATATAGTACTTATGCCTTTAACTTGCTGCTGAAACAAGAAGTGAACAGCCTTTACTACTTGCTACCAGTATGAAGCCCGGTCAGCATGCACATCCGCTTAGTCTATTAAGGCCCTGTACTCTTGGGAGCTTAATTCTTGATATTGAAGCCCCTATTACTTTGAATGGACTGTTCCAAATTCAGTGAAGGGCAAATCCATTACATAAATTCAGCAAGTTACTGTAAGTGAATTTATGAGCACGGATGTATGTAAAATTGTTATTTTCACATGAAGTTTGGAATGATTTATAATAGGTAATTATGGTAATATAGGTAATAAAGTGATACACATGTTTAAAGCATTTAATTTTACAAAATTGGCAATGATTGTTAGACACTCAAGTTTAGAGCCTTGTTAAAATTAAAATTGAAATATTTTAAAATGCTTGGGGATCATTTTCCTCATCTCGTAAAAGTTACGAAGGATGAAGAAAAAAGAGAAGTTTTAGAAGTGAATTTTGAGAATTTGTTAACTATAATACCGAAAACAGTTATGTACGAGTATACACCTTATTCATGTAATTTTGCCATATTGTAATCTACATTTTTATTTGTTTTTGGGTGGGGGCTTGGGATTTTTGTCAGGCTGATATTGTAATTAAGGTCATAAAATGATTTTCCTGCTTTTACTTAAGTGGAGGAAGACCTGAATTTCTTAAGCCGCATATGGCGACCGGAACAACCCATTGCAGACAAAAGATTAGCCATTAGGTTGGTGCCGTCTGATATTGCCTGCACTGTTCACTGTTCAGTCAAATATTTGTTTTGAAATTTTCCCTAAAAATGATGAATGGGCTTTATCCAGATTGAAAGATGGACTAGTCCATTTAAGACATTTAGTGGTGTAAGTATTGAATGCCTCTGAATTAATGCAATAGTGAAGACTCTATGGTTCATCCCAGTGGTACCGCTGACCATGTAATTTGTCACCTTAGTGCAGTAATGGAGTAAGTCCTTCTAAATTTAAAGGATGAGTTAACCAGTTATTGCACTAAGGTGACAGTATTGGCTTGCCAGAAAAGCATCTTCAAATGAAAAAATTCAAAATCTCAGGCTATTATAAAACATGTCTGTTTCTATTACATTAACAATTTCAATCATCTGAAAATTGCATCCTATTTTGTCATTGGTAAAGAAACTAACTAAACTGTCACCTGTGAATCCAATTGAAATTAAATGCTTTGATTTATATTTTTTGGTGATAATTTATATGGTTTACATTTGTAAACAGCTCTAGAGGCTTTCAAGCATGGAAAATGCATGTTACACTCCAGTTGAAAGGTTGTTACTCAAAGTGTTGATAAGTATTTCGAAGTTTTTCTTTTAAGATTTTATTTACTTATTTTAATATATACTCATATTGGGACTGTAACATTAGTGTTAAAGGTATTTATAATTCATTTCTTTTATCTAAATAAATAAAAGTTATCTGATTGTTATACAGCAAACATGTAAATAATTATCACCATGTGTTTTTATACTGCAAAATAGCCTAAGCACAGATTGACTCACTGTGCTCCAGACTGATTAAAGGTTGGTTTCTATATTGATTAAAGGGTCAGTAGGTCAAAGGTCATGCCATAATGACCTTGAATGTAAGAATCATTACCACTTTATTACTAGAATACACATCCCCATAAAACCTTAAAACTTCAAAAGGCAATTGCCTTGACTAAGTACTGTCATTGGTAAAATAAAATATTTAACATCAAAGTGATCCTGAAGTTGAAATCTCTTTTATACAATATATTTAATCTTTTTAGGGGTTTAAATTGATGCAGGGACAGTTAAGAACTGTGGTTAAATTTAATTAAGCTATTTTCAAACAATTTTGAAACTTTGCAATTTTAATTCTTGACTTGCAATTACTGTTAGTGGCTTTTCTTAGTAAATTGGAAACTTTTTTTTTTTTTTTTTTTTTTTTTTTCTTTCTTTTCTTTCTTCTTTCTTTTTTTCTTTCTTCTTTCTTTTCTTTCTTTCTTTCTTTCTTTCTTTCTTTCTTTCTTTCTTTCTTTGCTTTCTTTTCTTTCTTTCTTTCTTTTTCTTTCTTTCTTTCTTTCTTTCTTTCTTTCTTTCTTTCTTTCTTTCTTTCTTTCTTTCTTTCTGACATTACAACAAAGATCTACATGTCATTTAATTCACTCATTCAAATGTAAGTGTGTTATAATTTGGCAAAAAAGTAAATTACTAGCCACTAGTGATAACTGGGTTGTTGTTATATTGTCACTGTTTTGTGACAACTTCATTTATTATATGCCTCAGAGATGACCTATTTTTTGTAACATTTTTCCTGAAGAAGTAAAAAAAAGATCATTTAAGCGTATATTTTTAGTTTTATAAGCCCGTCTGTTCTTTGCAGTCATATAATGATATATGGGCCATTTGTTTTGACAGTGTGAAAGTTTTCACAGGTTGCAGCTATTTAAATGGTGTATTTATGCAAATATTTTTAATGGGTGTACTGCTGCAAAGTTTTTCTCTACATCAATGTTTATTTATAGTATAAATATGTAATAAATTTGGATGGATTTGTTTATATTTGACAATATTTTTTTAGCTCACCTGTCACAAAGTGACAGGGTGAGCTTTTGTGATCGCTTTTCGGCCGGCGTCCGTCCGTCGTCCGTAAACTTTTACTTTAAATGACATCTCCTCATAAACCATTAGGCCAATTTCATCCAAACTTCACAGGAATGTTCCTTTGGTGGTCACCTTTAAAAATTGTTCAAAGAATTTAATTCCATGCAGAACTCTGGTTGCCATGGCAACCGAAAGAAAAAACTTTAAATATCTTCTTTTAAAAAACCCTAAAAGCTAGAGCTTAGATATTTGGCATGAAACATCTTCTAGTAAGTGTCTACCAAGTTTGTTCAAATAAAAGCCCTGGGGTCAAAATTGGCCCCGCCCCAGGGGGTCATTGATTTTCCCTATATGCATATAGTAAAAACTTAAAAAATCTTCTTTTAAAGAACCCAAAGAGCTAGAGCTAAGATATTTAGCATAAAACATGTTCTAATGAGTGTCTACCAAGTTTGTTCAAATAAAAGCCCTGGGGTCAAAATTGGCCCCGCCCCAGGGGGTCATTGATTTTCCCTATATGCATATAGTAAAAACTTAAAAAATCTTCTTTTAAATGACTCAAAGAGCTAGAGCTAAGATATTTAGCATCAAACATGTTCTAATAGGTGTCTACCAAGTTTGTTCAAATAAAAGACCTGAGGTCAAAATTGGCCCGCCCCGGGGGTCATTGATTTTCCTTATATGTGTATAGCAAAAACTTAAAATCTTCTTTGAAAAAACCCAAATAGCTAGAGTTTAGATATTAAGCATGTAACATCTTCTAGTAAGTGTCTACAAAGTTTGTTCAAAGAAAAGCCCTGGGGTCAAAACTGGTCTCGCCCCAGGGGTGTCATTGTTTTTAACTATTTGTGTATAGTAAAAACTTAAAAAAATCTTCTTTTAAAAAGCCCAATGAGCTAGAGCTTAGATGTTTAGCATGAAACATCTTCTTATGGGTGTCTACCAAGTTTGTTCAAATAAAAGCCCTGGGGTCAAAATTGGCCCTGCCCCAGGGGGTCATTGATTTTCCCTATATGCATATAGTAAAAACTTAAAAAATCTTCTTTTAAAGAACTCAAAGAGCTAGAGCTAAGATATTTAGCATCAAACATGTTCTAATAGGTGTCTACCAAGTTTGTTCAAATAAAAGCCCTGGGGTCAAAATTGGCCCCGCCCCGGGGGTCATTGATTTTCCTTATATGTGTATAGCAAAAACTTAAAAAAATCTTCTTTTAAAAAACCCAATGAGCTAGAGCTTAGATGTTTAGCATGAAACATCTTCTTATGGGTGTCTACCAAGTTTGTTCAAATAAAAGCCTTTGGATTAAAATTGGCCCTGCCGGGGGGTGGGGGGTAGGTAGGTCATTGTTTTTCATTATATGTGTGTAGTAAAAACTTAACATCATGAAACATCTTCTAATGGGTGTCTTCCAAGTTTGTTCAAATAAAAGCCCTGGGGTTTAAACTGGCCCCGCTCCAGGGGCCTATATACAGGTGAGCGACCTCAGGGCCATCATGGCCCTCTTGTTGTTTTTTTTCTTTCATTTATTTTCTCTCGCTATGTTAAAATATATTATATAATGTCATGCAGACATTTTTTGTGCATATTTTATAGTTTATTTATTTCAGATTATTTGCTGTGATGCATATAAACATTATTTTGATATACAAGGCCTTTTATGGCATGTCGGCTATGATTTTTTATTTCCGGATCTTTCGGCCATCATGGGTTGTAGGTTCGAATGAGGACATGGCCTTTGGATTCTTATATGTTATATGTGTTTATATTATTACTTTAAGTTACTTAGGTACCCAATAGTTTGTTAGTACTATTCAGTTGTGTGTGAAATAATGCACAGGGAAGGGGTACCTGATGTCTCTCTCCCTCCAACAATTAAAGTATGTTTTCAAGAGATAAATGCCAATGTAACTTTAAAACAAAGTTAAGTAAAGCAGTTTTGTTTGGAATATTTAAAATCTAAAATTGTTATAATGTTTGAATTTATAGAAATTTGAGAGAGAGAAAAAATGTTTCGGTAAGAAATGTGCGATTTTGTGCTGTTTTCCCGGCATATTTTGTAAAATGGATTTTATTGACCAATACTGAATTAGGCATGTAGGCATAGGTATAGATAATTTACTACTTTAAGATGGGTGAAAGTTGCGAAGGCTAAAAATAGATTTTTTTCTACATTTTGTCATTAAGTTACGCGCACTATTTCTCAAGCTTCATCAAAAGTAGACAGCATGAAGTAGTGCAGGCTATATCCAGGTAAGCGCTAGAATAGCAATCATGGCTTTTTGCTTTTTAATGCTGAAATTGTTAAGTGTATGTTTCTTTGTTTCAGAGAAGAGAGAAAGTTTACCAGCCACACCGTCATCATTTCATCGTGTTGCAAACAGTTTTGCCAGTGATGATGAACCATTATACGACAGTGTCGCGTCAGACGAAGACTATAGTAGTGTCGATAACCTTAGTCTGCAAAATATGAAAACTGACGAGTCAGCACATAATACTTCACAAGATATACACATGCATCATGATGTAAGTAAAGCCATGTGACTTATGAAAAATTCTTTAAATATCCTACTGAAACGATCTACGGAAACATCCTTTCAGTTTATTCAATTTTGTTAAAGAGAGTAGGGCAGTCTTTTTATGTTTTATGCAGTTTAACGGTTTATCCTAAAAATTCTTTGTTTTCAGTTATTGGTCAATGACCATAATAATAGTAAATCTTTTGAAAATATTTAATTAGTTAAGCTCAACTAGGCAATGAGAAAAATGAGCCTAATATCACTTGAAGTAAGTTTTCATTTCTAGATGTATAATGATACAGCCTTGTCTTGTAGCTGTGCAGGGAAAATGATAAAATTACTGTTTGTTGTTTGAATGCGCATCATTATATCACTCGGGCTACGCCCTTGTATATAATTCCTCGCATCCGAAATAAGAACAGTAATATTTATTGAGCGATAAGTTTGGGATATATTATTTCTTAGATATTGTTATATTTATGTATCCTGGCTTAACCATTGACCTATGGAATTTTTGGAACTGTCCATTATAAATTTTGGGATATCAACATGACAATTTCAATTAGTCAGAATACAGTATAATGCGTGGTCAAATATTTAACCACATAAGTAAGTTAATGGTTTTGCAACTATGATGCCGACTTCGACAACATATTTACTTAATTAAATATAAATAGAATTTACATAAATAAATATGAATTTGTTACATTATTGATATTTTTTATTTAAGCACTCTTAATGATAGAAATAAAACATTGTTATATCTTAGATGTATGTTTGATTTCTTTTAAGGATAAAGAATCTACCCCAGTCCCTGTCTCCAATGATCATAGGGTAAGTTTAAATCTATATTACACTTGTTAGGGGTGGGGGTCTTCGAAATCAAGTAGTATGGATTACTGACCTTGAAACTCTTGCATGTCATAGTCCAATGGAAAGAATCTAGCTAGTTATGAAATGAAAGGTAAATAGTTACCTGCTTAAAAATTGCAGAAAGCAGCAGCAATGGCAGTGAAGTTACCTTTTGAAGTCTTCATTATTTGATGTGACGCAAAATTGTACCAAAAAATAAAGAGGAGGAATGGTGAAGAAAGAATGTGACACTATATTTTTTATTTAAAAAAAGGTTTTGGCCAATTCGAAGAATCTTACCTTTAGCAGATATCATAAAAAGTATAAACACCTTCTTCATATATGATGGCCTCTGGCCAAATGGTTAATGTCGCAAATTTCAAATCACTTGCCCCTCACCACTGTTGGTTCGAATTACATTAGGGACTTTGGATTCTTTATGTGAAGAAGCTTTCCAGCTAGCATAAGGAAAGTTGGTGGTTCTTCTCAGGTGCCTGCTTGTGCCTGAAATAATGCATGGAAGGTCTTTCTCCACCAGTAAAGCTTGGAAGTTGCTGTATAACTTTTACTGTGTCAATGTTACAAACATCAAGGAAACTGGTGCTTTATGAAAAAGAATTACATTTTAATTCTGTAGTTTCAAAACAAAGATAATTTGTTTTCTAGAAGTCAACAACAGAAGTGCCAAATGAGAGTCACATGCCGCGGGAGGTTGAAGAGGTGCTGGAGATACGGCAAGCCCTGATGCATTCACAGTCAGAGGTTCGCCAACTCATACAGGCCAATAAAAACTTACAAAATGAAGTCGAGAGACTTAACAACTTGGTAAGTAACTTTTTGTCCTTTATTTTATTTTCGTATCTTGATCGGGAGCATAATTACAAAAGAAAAAGATGGTTTATTTGTTTAAGTGTCTGCCTCTCAACCCAAGGAGAGTGGGTTGTAGTCCTGATGTTTATGACTGATACTGCATATCACACCAGGCCTGGACATTTTAAAACTTTTTTTCTGGGATCAGTCTCAAATCTCAGGATTTTCATTGGTCAATTTAAATTTTGTGCTGGTTTTTGACCAATCAAATGCCTGAAATTTGAGTATGTATGCTGAGTAGACTCAAAAATGGTTCAATAACAATTAAGCTTCAAGCTTATATCACAAACATAAATGTAAAAAAATTACAACTAAATAAGATTTATTTAATTTATAACAGTTATTAGGAATAATTGTGACAGTTAAAGCTTACATGGGCAGTATGGTAAAGCTTGCCAGTTTGGATGGCTTCTTACTTTCTTTATGTGTGAATCGTGCAAGAGATGGTAAATCAATTCATGTGATCAAATTATCTAACTAGTATATAATAGGTTGATGGATCTATACTGATAACTGTTACCGGAAAATAAAGAAATGGAGTCACAAAAGTGGCACTGGTGTGCAATATAGGGTACGCATATGAGAAATGGTGATATTTAATACTTCAAAACAAGTCCTCTTCGTGAATTAAAGGAAACTGAAAATCTAAATATCAATGCATGTTTTATTCATGACAGGTACATACTTTAGTGCATGAGAACTCTATGCTACGGGAACAACAACAACAGCTTTTACGGGGTCAAGGTCACATGCACAATGGAGTCGAAGGTCAGGACCAACTGGGCAGGATTCCTGTGGTTCAGTCACGGTCTGCAAGAAACAGTGGTGGCGCTCGTCCGCAGTCCATGTTCGAGCCACGAAACCAGGAGAGGCTTTCACAAAAGTCGAACAAAGTAAAAAAAATTTAAACTATTTAATTTAAATTTGATGAATAAGAATGTATTTTAAAGAATAGTTGGGCTGATCTACTGACCAATGGCATCTGCAACCCATGTAATCATTGTCTGCGAAGGCTCAATCTATATAAATAAAAACCAGAGAGTAAAATAACAATAGATAATAAGGATCTTACACTGAATACCTGTACAGTCTGGAATATCTAGCTTGAGGGTAACTGTTTACGGCGTTAGCATATGAATTTACAACTTATTTCATGGTGGCAAATTTTAACACTATCGGAAATTTTTCTATATAGACAAAGAAGGCCCGTAGCGTGCATTATTCTACAACAATGCACTCAGAATTGATATCTATTTCCTAAATGACATCATTCTAAGAATGCAATTCATTCATAAAAGGCACGTGGGAATGACATCATTTAAAAGACTCAACTTCACTTACACAGGGGTGGCGGGGGGGGGGGGGGCGTGTATGAAATGTTTTTCCAGCACACATGCGTCACAACATGTGAGAAAGTTATCTGTTTAACTAACAGAAGGTTGATGGTTTTATGTGTGTATCAACTTATGCCTGAAATAATGCATGAGTGGGCATCTGAGGTCTTCCTCCACTAGTAAAACTGTACAATTGCCATAGGATGGTGTTAGTATGACTTAAAAACTATCAGGTTTCTTAGTATTTTAGCTTTTGACGCTATTTTGGACTAACTATTGAGCTAATATAATAATGGATTTGTATTTTATTTTTGTAACAGGGTCAGTCGAAAGATGATTTGTATCCAGTTCAGTCAGGAGGTGATGTTGGTCAAATGGAAGGAAACAAGGTCTGTTTATGTTATAAATCTGTTTTTTCAAGTCTTGTTTTGTTGTTGACAAAATAGCTTGTTTTGATATACATGTACTCGGGTAAAACGTTAAACTATGCAGTGATGAAAAATGTGTACTTTGTACTGAATATAATATTGTAAGTTATTATATACCTGCGTTTGTACTAAACGACAGAAAGAAACGAAAATCATATTAATTATGAGTGTTCCAGTGTGACATTGCTGGTTTAACATTATTTAGTTCTGATAGTATTATCATACATGATTAAAATATCAGGAAGAATAAGATATATAGGTTGTTGTACGAGTAAGTTTGTTAAGGACTTGAATTCAGCTCTCATAGATTCTGTCACATATGTCCCCACCTTAGTGCAGTAACAGGTTAACTCATATAATTTAATGAGTTAACCTGTTACTGCGCTAAGATGACGATATAACAGATGGCACTTATTTGCCTCGTGTGATCTTCACATAGCAAAATCCTCTTGAGCCAAATGTTATTTCCAAATCAAAATAAAGATTACGATCATCACATTTTGCACATTTTTCAGTCATCGAACACAAGTTCGGGATCGTCATTTTCTCAGGGCAGCGGTGAACTACGCAATGACTCGCTAGGTCACTATGACAACCCGATGTCTCACTACGACAATCCACGCTCACTTCCTGTTGAACAATGTGCAATAAGGTATGATCTTTTCATATTTGATCAATCTTTTACACTGCTGGCATTTGTTGCGTTATTATTCAACACAAATGTAGATATTTAAAGGAAACCAATATAAAATGTGCTTGAATATAACAAGGATTAAAAAAAGATCAGGTTGATTGATTTTTATCATTAAAAGAAAAGATTGGGTAAACTTGTTATTTCTTGGTTTACAACTTTTATTATACACTTGTCTCAATAAACTTGCACGTAAGTTGAAACGGAAATGAAGATAAGCACAATGTTCATGAAATGCCCTTGACCATGAAAGTATTGGTTCTATTAACAGGGTTTTGTGCATATAGTAAAACCCTTATTCCATTTATTTGTGTAACTTTAAACCAGCTCGATTTCTTTAATGAAAATTTCAAGCTCCTATGTTTGGAACTGTTTATTATCAATTATGGGGATCAAGGTTGGTTTTGAGTATAGAGCCTGATCAGACTGCACAGATGTGCAGGCTGGCCTGGCTTTTTACTGGTGGCATAGGCTAATCACATTGAGTTCAAGCAGGTAATGGTTAAATGGACTTGTCCAGTTTCCATTTTGGACACTTTTGATATAATTATCAAGATGAAAATCTGAAATTGGTCGGGCAATACTGAAATTGGTTTAGCAACTTTAAATTTCAGCCAGAATGCACTCATTTGCTGCAGGTAGGTTTAGCTCAGTGCTAGCACCAAAAAGCTATTAACTTTGTTCCAGAATTGTTACTAGGGCTACTTTGATATGTAAAAATTATTGGGTGTGTAAAGAAAGATTGAATTAATTCCTTGAAAATATTTTTATAGGGAACAATGTGAATATGAAAGTTCACGAGGGGAAAGTATGGAAGGAATTGAGGGATTCCCGACATTAGAGCTTCTCATGTTAAAGACGGAAAAAATTACAAAGAAAATCCAGGAACTCTTACTCTCTGCACAAGAACGCAATATTGCCAGGTATGTTTATATATCATGAGAGGCTTTTGTGGCTGAATGGTTCAAGTCCCTGACTGAATATCACATAACCAAAACTGCTATTAGTTTAAATCCCACTAAGGAGTTTGAATTCTTTCATGTTTATGAGGAAATTAGCTAATGCAAGTTCAGTGGTTCTACTAAAATGTCTGGGAAAAAATCCACTGTAAGGCATTTGTGACTTTCCTTTAACATGAAAGTCTCCATATGACTGTCACAGACTCATTTGCTTAATACCCAACCAAAAACATTTTACTAAATTTCACCATTTATTTGACTCTGAATAGATAAAGAACTTTAATATATATTGTTAATTAAATTTTTGTTACAGTTATGGCCCTTGTGCAGATAATATCCACGCAGCAGTATTAGAGATGGCGGCTGTGTTTCCACAGGTACAAATACATTTCTCTTCTGTTTAATCAAATTTACTTTTTATGCTCCCTTGAGTTGACCTTCCTAGGTTGTTCAAATTTTGAAAAATAGTGACCACATAAAAATTCCGAACATAATGAGAGCATATGGGTTTATGCTTGCCTATAATAGTGTGGATCACAAATTCAGTATGACACTGCTACAAATTGAATGCAGATAATTTGTCAAATTTGTGTCAATCTGTAATTAAATGTCTAGACTGGAGGTCTGTGAGTTTGATTCAATAGAGAGAACATCAGATTTGTTAGCCAAGGGGTCGCTGGTCTGATCCTCCGGCAAGAGGAAATTTCTCTGTGACAATTGATCTCAGACATGAAGTTGAATGGTCATATGTTCCTCACCGCTGAAATCATGTGGAATTAGTTAACAGTCACTTGTGGAGAAATTGGTAATTACTGCTGAGGTATCCAAGAAAGTCAGTTATGTGTACTGCCTTTAAAGTCATCTCCAAAAATGTGTTGAAAACAAAATTCAGGATTGAGTACCATTGATAAATTTAAATATACATATATACAATGCCAAATAGACACTTGCACATGAAGAATGATTCTTGAAAATTATGTTGTATGCTTTATCATTCCAGAAACCATTCTCAGAAAGCGTGAAATGTGCGTTGCATTTACTGATGACAAGTGCAGTTCGGCTGCAGGAAGAATGTTCGGAGTGTATTGACCTACCCTCTGACCCCGCAGAGGAATTGACCTTTGACCCTTCTATTAAAACGCAACAAGTGATTCAGTGTGCCTATGATATTGCCAAATCTGCCAAGCAGCTAGTGACTTTGTTTCAATGATCTTTATTTTAAATCGGCTGGTTGATCCAGATTGTTAATAGTTAAATGGAGACATTTTATGGTTATTTTCTGTTAAAGGGAGACAATTTGCAGTTATTTTTTGTTCAAGGGAGGTAATTTGTGAAAATTTCCCATGATTTAAATGAAAATGTGCAGTTATTTCCTGTTAAAGGGAGATAATTTCTGGAAGTTTCCTGTCAAAGGGAGAAAATGTGCAGTTATTTTGTGTTAAAGGGACAGTTTTTTCCAGTTCAAGGGAAGCAATTCACAGTTCTTTCCTATTCAAGGGAGACAATTTACTGTGTATTATTGACTCCAAACCTTGTTTAGGGGAGTTATTTTTACTGAGAAGCTGCTGGTCTCCTTGGAAAGGAAATAATACTTTATGTTACCCAGTAATAAGGAATAGTTTCACAGAAATCTCTGTTAGCTATAAATAAAAGATTATTTTATCAAAGATTATTAGATTTATATGATGAAACAACTGTTTTAATAAAAGCAAAATGTTTCATAAGACAAGAAAACACTTGACATGATGGAAGAAGTGGGATTATTTACCTGAAAATTGATAACAATAGGTGCTTAGATTTGAATAAATTCATATAAAATGGCAATAGTGTTTCCAAAATCAATAGTCTCATAAATACAGGGAGACAACTCTTAAAAATATGCTAAATTCATGTAATGGATTTTCCCTGTTACAAATTTGGGACAGTCCATTTAGAACTTATAGGGGGATTTCTGCTATAAACTACAAAAAATGAGCTGCCATCAGTATATAGCCAGGTCAGACTGCACAAACATTCAGGCTGGTCTGGCTCTATACTGGTCGCAAAGACTAATCACTATGAGTTCAAGCAACTATGTGTTCAGTCAAAGCCATTTTGTCAAAAGAAAAAGTATCGTAATTGCCATCATACTTAATTGAGCTGTATGAACAAAAGTCCTTTTTATCACACACCCGTGCCGATTTTGTGACTCTGTAAATATGGTATTGCACGGACGTGCATATATTTTGACATAACATCATTAGCGTTATACAAACATAGTGTAAAGACGCGCTAAATGTTAGCGTTATACTATAGGCGTGTCAATGAAAAATGACTTATTTCACTCCAAACGGTCTTTTTTTTCCGTATGTGATAAATAGTATATTTAATTTGTGTAAGTTCATTACTGAATTTATTGCACTCGTTGAATAAAATAATATGCTCGCCAGAGGCTCGCATAATATAATTTTATTCAACTTGTGTAATAAATTCAGTATTGAGCTTACACTCATTCAATATCCTCTATTAATTAGTTTAAACAATATTTATTTATAATCCATACATATAATAATAAGGTACATGAAAAAAAAATTATGGATTGAATAGGAAGTTTGAAAAGCTTTTTATATGCCCGAAAGAATTTCGGGCATATTATGTTATACCCCCTGGCGTCCGTCCGTACGTCCGTCCGTCCGTCTGTTAGCAATTTGGTTTCCGGAGCATAACTTAAGTTCCATTTGGCCCACAGTATTCAAACTTCATAGGATGATTGCCCATATTGGGTAGAAGACCCCTATTGATTTTGGGGTCACAAGGTCAGTCACTATTAGCTAAATACTGAAAATGGTTTCCGGAGCATAACTTAAGTTCCATTTGACCCACAGTATTCAAACTTCATAGGATGATTGCCCATATTGGGTAAAAGACCCCTATTGATTTTGGGGTCACAAGGTCAAAGGTCAAGGTCACTATTAGCTTATTACTGAAAATGGTTTCCGGACCATAACTTAAGTTCCATTTGACCCACAGTATTCAAACTTCATAGGGTGATTGCCAATATTAAGTAGAAGACCCCTATTGATTTTGGGGTCACAAGGTTAAAGGTCAAGGTCACTTTTAGCTAAATACGTAAAATGGTTTCCGAAGCATAACTTAAGTTCCATTTGACCCACAGTATTCAAACTTCATAGGATGATTGTCCATATTGGGTAGAAGACCCCTATTGATTTTGGGGTCACAAGGTCAAAGGTCAAGGTCACTATTAGCTTAATACTGAAAATGGTTTCTGGAGCATAACCTAAGTTCCATTTGGCCCACAGTATTCAAACTTCATAGGATGATTGTTCATATTGGGTAGAAGACCGCTATTGATTTTGGGGTCACAAGGTCAAAGATCAAGGGATTACTATCACCTTTAAACTGGAAACAGTTTTCGCTCAATAACTCAAGTATTAATCGAACTACAGCTGTAAAATTTTATAGGATTAACAGCTTTATACCCCTGACGTCTTGGTGTCCATCCGTTGTAGCATTTTTACTTACAAGATAACAACTTGATGGTGGTGCTTTGAAAACAGCAACTGTATATATACATGAATTTTCTTCAGCTATAAAGGAGGATTGCTTTTTGAAGGAGGTAATACTGTATTTAATTCCCATGTCTTCCTCACTAAAAGAAAGAGTACTTTCAGGCATATAATGCTCCGCCTAGCGGTGCTCTTGTTTAAAAACTCTATGTTAAAAAGTCCTTCATGGCATAATTGTAAGACTTCCATTACATACATGTCTACATTACTTGTGTTTCTAAGTGTTTTTCTTGCTCTCCTTATTTCTAAGCAATGGTACTAATCTACTTGATTTGTAAAGAAAGTTTTGTAGCTTCAGATTTTCTTTGCAAAATGGATCTGTCAAGTACAAATTTCACTTGCACTAAATAGACTTTTGAAATTATTTTACTATTCCCAGCAAGGAAGGTAGAAGTTTTATCGTATTAAATTAAATGAAGCAGAGTTTTTAAGTGTTGTGATTTTGATGTTTTAGTCATCTTTTTCTTTTGTTAATTTTGTTTTAAGGGTTGTTATGTTTATATTTTAAGATTTGAATAGAAATTGGTCAGTAATGCAATGTCTCTTAATTTTTGTGAATAAAAGACATGAAATGATTGTATTTAAGGAAACAATATATCGCATAAAGTAAATGTAGTTGGACAGTTTATGACAAGTATATGATTAAAAATTATAGGTGATATGTTTCTGTTTCATTAATTTTTGTTATACCTAAAAATTAGCTTAGGGAGTTAGACCACAGTTCCTTTGACTGCAGATCATACTTAAAGTTCTAAAGGTAGATATCTTTGAATCCTAACAAAGTAATAAGTATGAATTGATAATGTTTCCGAGGAAGACGTGTGTGTCATGGCATAAACTACTTAAAATAGCAAATTGAAAATTTTTTAGTATATGTTTTATAATAATCTTGTTTGTTAAGTAACAGAGACAGTCTTTGTTTTTTGTTGTTGAGAAATCACCCATAGGGGTATGAAAACTCTGCAATTGGGTAGGTTTTATTATTGTTATAGAATGTAACCAGTTATAGCTTCACCAATTTTATAGAAAAAAAGTCTCCATATAACTAAACTGCTGTCAATGTGACTTAATTTTTGGTACTTTGTTAATTTATGTAGTTTGACGAAGCAAAAAGTTTATGTGGTGTACCTGTAATAATCCTTATAGCCACAAGCTTGCATTATTTTTTTTTTTCATATAATATATATATCCAAAGATGGTCCACACCCCTCTCCCAAAGCCCCTCCCCCCCACACCCCTACAACTTGCAATATTTATTTATTACTTTATATATATATATATTTAATTGTTTTATTAATATGAGCACATCATGCTCAATGTGCACCCTTAGGATCTATGGCTGTCGGTCAACCCAATTTTTTTTTTAAACAGTTCACCAAATTTGATGAGTTATAACATGGTAAATTACCACAACTTGCATACATTTGTGCTAAAATATTGAGAGAAAAAAATAAATAACTGAGATTTTAATATTATCTGTTATGATAGAAAAATATAAGCTTATGTATTTTTGTTAATTTAAAAAATATGGGTTTGAAATATTTTTGTTAAGTTAAAAAAAATATAGGTATAAGTATTTTTGTGCATTAACACAAGATAAGGGTTAAAATATTTTTCTCTGTAAGAAATCTGGGTTGGAAAAGATCTGTAAGTTAATGTGATGATTAGTTGAGAGAAGGGAGATAATTTACTGTTTATGATTCTGTTACGTTATTATGTAAAACACTTGCAAAATTACAATTTGATATATCATTAATTTTATAATGTATTTTCATTTGTACAAAGTTTCATTCCTTACATCCACAGTTTAACAGAGCCAGATTGGCTTTAAGCTCCACATATATTGTAACAATGGCAGTTTGGTATAATTGTGCATAAGTAAATATTATCATCGAGCATTGTGTGCTTGACCAGATCATTACTAAGTCATTTCATGGGAGTATTTAGAAATTAATTGGCTCAGATATTCATCATCATAAAACAGCATGTGGCACACAAAGAACCATATTTGTCTGTAGCTCACTGGTCAAGGTCACATTTAGAGGTCAAATGTCAACTATTTGTCCTAAACAGATTATCTGATCTATGACTCTGGGTCCGTCATTTATTGGGAGAATGCTAAATAAGATGGCACAAACGTAAAAGAATGAGTGCATGTCATATATAATAAGTGACTCAAAGGTCAAGGTCAATGATCAAGGTCAAATGTACATCTGAGATATAACGGCTGTTACCAAGTCAGTCATACATTGATTAATTCTGATATTATTTGGCACAAAAATTTGCATTGATAAGACAGTATATCACATGAGAAGCCCAAATTCAAGGTCATACATTGAAGGTCATATATTCTAAAAATAGATTTTAAGAAATTATTAGACTTTGATCTTTTTTTGTTCTGGTATGGTAAGCATGTTGCCTTTTGTTTGGCATCTACAGCATATGTTTGTTTGCAGAGTGTTGAAGAGATTGTTGGTTGTTTTTTCATTTTTAATAATAAATGGCCAGCTGGATCAGTGGATCTGAAAGAGGATTTCAGGATTTAGTAATTATATTCTTCTATACCTAATTGTTCTATAATTACACTATTTCATCACATGATTGTCCCTTTTCCTTACAGCATACTGTTGAATGGTTGTCTCTAAAAAAAAATTTTTTCCTTTTATTTTTTAAGGTTATGAATAAGTATTAATATGTATATCATGAATATTTCGGAAGTATGAACATGTCATGAATATTCTGAAGTATGAACATGTTTATCATGAATATTCTGATATATGAATATGTTATGTCATGAATATTCTGAAGTATGAATATGTCATGAAATGTATGTCATGAATATTCTGAAGTATGAACATGTCATGAATATTCTGAAGCGTGACTATGTATGCCATGAATATTCTGAAGTATGAATATTAGGTTGTATAGATTTAGGCTCTTATTACAGATTGTGATTCTGTTCTTGCTTGTATTTTTTTTACTTCTCTAGTCAATTGATTGTTTATTTCACAATGCTGCTTTTTATGTTTCTCTGAGTGTACATTTTTCAATTTACAGAACAGTGTTTTTGGTTTTTCCCCCTAATTTTTTCCCCATTTTTCTTCTATATAATTATTTATTATCCCCTCGCCACTCTTTTAGGTCAAAGCTAGCTTAAGACTCCAAACTTTTATTTTATTACAGGAAGCTGTCTAAGTTCTGTGAAAGGTTGATAGTTCAATTTGGGTGTCTACTCTTACACGACATAAAGGGGCGCTAGTTTGTTTGACTTGTAACTGAACGAATACCATTTTGGTGTTTGTGTGACTTTTAACCGAACCAAGATTATAACCGAACCAAGTCATAACCAAACTAAGCTTATAAGCGAACAAATCTTATAACCGAACCAAACTTAACACTGAACAAAGTTTCCAACCAAACCAAGGCCATCAGAATGTCCGTATTCCTTACATTTGAACTATCTTAGAAAACAATTTACATGTAATTACGCGTATTCATTACATCATAGCATTATACAGTGGGAAGACATTTCTCATATAACCAAATTGCAGATTTTATAGACTATCCTTAATTTCACATCAGAGTTATCAAGTTATGAAAAAGTAAAGATTTTTGTTTTTATTACTCTGCTATATAAAATAAGAATTTGTTATATATTGAGATGTAAGTTATATAGTATTTATGCAGCATTGTAAATTTTAATGCACTTTTATTAAGCATAGATATATATTATATATATATATAAAGCTACAGGTTAACTAGAATATTTTTTGCATGTCATATATTGTTTTGCAATATAATGAGAAAGGAAATCTCCTTGACCAAAGTAAATTTATAATTTATCATTTGATAATAGATTGAACAATCTGGTATCTTATGGTATTTTTTAGATATTTTCGTGACATGTTATTTTTATTACTTTGAGATATCCCTTGAAATATCTAAATAACCCATAGCAAAATGAGAAAGAAAGAAAAAACACCCTGATTTATTCAGATATAACTACTTAATACAGATATTAAAGACTTTGTATATTGGTACAGAGCCAGTTTAGTAATCGGCCATTTCTAAGTGATTTCATAAGTATGCAATAGTCTGTTTTGGCAAAAAAATGTACTCAAACCTCAAGTCATATGATTTAGATAATTGAATCTGAGTTACTTCCCTTTACTTCTTTGACTTTGGTATAATTTATGAAAACTCAACATAAAATCAAAAAAGACGAGAAAAAGAAAAATACACCAGAACTTCCTTAATTTTTTTTAATTTTTTTTAAATTATAGACTTTAACAGAATCTTTAATTTTTAATTGTTACAGAATCTTGCTTGGCTGGTTGAATTGGTATTCTACTTGTTTTTAGCTCACCTGTCACTTTGTGACAGGGTGAGCTTTTGTGATCGCTTTTCGTCCGGCGTCCGTCCGTCCGTCCGTCCGTAAACTTTTGCTTTAAATGACATCTCCTCATAAACCGCTGAGCCAATTTCATCCAAACTTCACAGGAATGTTCCTTTGGTGGTCACCTTTAAAAATTGTTCAAAGAATTTAATTCCATGCAGAACTCTGGTTGCCATGGCAACCGAAAGAAAAATCTTTAAATATCTTCTTTTAAACAACCCTAAAAGCTAGAGCTTAGATATTTGGCATGAAACATCTTCTGATGAGTGTCTACCAAGTTTGTTCAAATAAAAGCCCTGGGGTCAAAATTGGCCCCGCCCCAGGGGGTCATAGATTTTCCTATATGCATATAGTAAAAACTTAAAAAATCTTCTTTTAAAGAACCCAAAGAGCTAGAGCTAAGATATTTGGCCTGAAACATCTTCTAGTGAGTGTCTACTAAGTTTGTTCAAATAAAAGGCCTGGGGTCAAAATTGGCCCCGCCCCGGGGGGTCATTGATTT